CAGTAGGTTAGGTTGGATTTTAGTTTATATATTGTTCTTTTCAAATCTAGTTTAAGGAACTGCCACCATATTTACCCAGAACCAGCACTCTCCTCTTACAATATAATCCTTGTTCTGAGTTATCTAACTCTGAGGTCCCCAACATTTTTGGCACCAGAGACCAGTTTCATAAAAGACAGTTTTTCCACAGACTGGCCAAGGGGATGGTTTCAGGATGATTCAAGTGCATTATATTTATTGTGTACTTTATTTCTATTATTATTACATTGTAATACATAATGAAATAATTATATAGCTCACCCTACTGTCAAATCAGTGGGATACCTGAGCTTGTTTTCCTGCAACTAGTCGGTACCATCTGGCAGTGATGAGAGACAGTGACAGACCATCAGGCACTAGATTCTCATAAGGAGCATGCAACCCAGATCCCTTGCATATGCAGTTCACAATAGGGTTTGTACTCCTATGAGAATCTGATGCTGCCATTGATCTTACAGGAGGTGGAGCTCAGGCAGTAATGTGAGCAATGGGGAGTGGCTGTAAATACAGATGAAGCTTCTTTAGCTTCCCTGCCACTCATCTCTTAATTTACTTAACATCTCTGTGCCTCAGTTTCCTCACTTGTAAAATAGGAGATAAAAGTAATACTGCCCCCCCCCATAGGGTCCTTGTGAGCTCTGAATGAGTTAACATGTATAATGTACTTAGAACAGTAGGTGTTACATTAAGTTAAATTAGGTTTAGCTTAAATCTGCCTCTTTGTGAATTTGGCCTAAAGGTTTCTCCTTATTTAATGATGTAACCTAAATGGGTGTGGAATAGGCTATAACCTACTCTTGTAATGAGTAGCCCAGTCTCAGTCCACCACAGAAGCCATACTTTAACCACTCACAGGTAGCCAACTGTTCAAATTGTGTTCAAATAGGGCAAATGCAGAGCTGTAACCAATCTGGCCATTTCTGCATGCTGCTTCTGTTTTCTGTACCTCACTTTCTTTTTCTTGTCCGTAAATCCTCTCTGACCACGCAGCACTGCCAGAGTCACTCTGAACCTACTCTGGCTGAGGAACTGCCTGATTTGTGAATTGCTCAATTAAACTCTGATAAACTTAATTCATCTAATGTTTTTCTTTTAATCCCAGTTTTTATTAATAATGCAAGTAAGGGCAAGGGGCGGTGGCTCAAGCCTGTAATCCCAGCACTTTGGGAGGCCAAGGCAGGTGGATCACAAGGTCAAGAGATCGAGACCATCCTGGTCAACATGGTGAAACCCCATCTCTACTAAAAACACAAAAAATTAGCTGGGCATGGTGGCCCGTGCCCGTAATCCCAGCTACTCAGGAGGCTGAGGCAGGAGAATTGCTTGAACCCAGGAGGTGGAGGTTGCAGTGAGCCGAGATTGCACCATTGCACTCCAGCCTGGGTAACAAGAGCGAAACTCCGTCTCAAAAAAAAAAAAAAAAAAAAATGCAAGTAAGATACAATTATCAAAAGAAGAAAGAAATATATATGTATGTGTTCATGCACACACATATATACACATTTATATTACATATAGCAGAATCAATTCGTTGAAAAACATAAACGTAGTGACTTTTCATTGAGTCAGTTATTGACAAACAACAGAATTACTTGATATGAGAGCTTTGGATATTGACCTGGAACAGTGATTGGTATGCAAGACCATAAATGTAAATACATTTTAGGTAGAAAAAGTAAATGCTATTTAAGCAGTAAGTTCCTTCATAAAATACATACCTGGAAATCGCAAAGGTCAGTTTAAAATTTCAAGCTGAACTAGATCCTCTGTGGGATTTGTAAAGTCTTGCCATGTCAATGACACCAAAGAGTCGGGGGTAGGTTAGTGGCAGTCAAATCTGTGCCTTTGACTGCTTGGCCTTGACGGCTAGGCCTCTCCCAGGGCCTTGCTCCAGGAGAGTTCATGGGATGCAAAACTCCTGGGGTGCCATGCTGCTCCCTTGCTGGTTGTGCAACCAAATGAGAAAGAAGATCAAGTTTTCCACCCTTTGCCCAGTCTAGAGTGATTCACTTTTGGATGTTTCCAAAGCACAGAGGGGCAATATTTAGGCCCCTGCAGTCCATATCCCAAAGGAATTCATGCTAACTTTCTTCCTTATGCAGGTCTCTGCTCACAAATTACAACTCTTGGCAGTATGTGGTGGCTCACGCCTGTAATCTCAGCACTTTAGGGAGGCAGAAGCAGGAGGATCACCTGAGGTCAGGAGTTTGAGACCAGCCTAGCCATTATGGCGAACCCCCTCTCTACTAAAAGTACAAAAATTAGCTCGGCATAGTGGCACATGCCTGTAGTCTCAACTACTTGGAAGGCTGAGGCAGGAGAATTGGTTGAACCCTGGAGGCGGAAATTGCAGTGAGTCAAGATTATGCTACTGCACTCCAGTCTGGGTGACATTGAGACTCCGTCTCAAAAAAAAAAAAAAAAAAAATTAAGGAAATTACAGTTCTTTCTAAAGGCACACCCTCACAGGGTATTGTGTGGCTTTTTGTCTTGCTTTGTTTTCTGCATAGCTCTTAGGACTGCTAGACAGGCTTAGTCCAGGCTCCTTATATAATAAGAACTAAGCAAGGTTATGTGCTAATCTTTTATTGGGAGGTTCTATCCCAGTGAAAAAGGGTAGGGAGGCAACTAATGAGGGAATGCAGATACAAGATGAAGCATTTGGAAGCTGGCCACTGCTTCCCCAGAAGACATTGATGGTGGCTCAGCTCCTGTTCATGTGATGGTTCCTTCCCATCTCTGTCTCTTCTGGATCTACGTTCATTCTTCAGAGTGTTAACTCCCCTGAACCTCCCTGTCATGTTACGTGGTACCTTGGGGCAGTAACCAGGGAAGCTACTTTGGACTTGGGTACAGGAATTGCAGCAGCTCCTCAACCTGGGAGGAGTTAGGAAGAAGCTGGGGTTTTACCACCAAGGGGACTGCACAGATTCGAGCTGCGGTAACTCCCAGCATAGGCCTGGGAGGCAGGTGGAGCCAAGAGTATCTGGGATCTGCACAAACTGGGTCCAGAACCCTGATCATGTACATTTACTTGTTTATCATTTTCTCTCTCATTTGGAAGCATAGAGATTACTTGTTTTGTTCATTGTTCACCATATCCATAATCATAAGAACAGTGGCATATACCAGGCATTAAAAAAATATTTGTTGAATAAATTTATTGAGTGGCTAATGTGTTAGGAATTGTTACAGCTGCTAGAAGACACAAGCATTCCACCTCCCAGTTGGAAAAATTAAGAAGAAAAATGACTTTCTTGGTGCTGCTCAAAATAGGAGCAGTTTCTCGATTGTCAGACGTTTGGCCTTTAGTTTATGAGAGAGTGTGCTTCAGAATATAAGTAACTCTTGATTTGACTTTGCCTGTCCTTTTGTAAGAAATGAACCTAAGAGAAGGATTAACCTGACTCCTTTTGTCGGCATTTAGTCTCTCTGTGTTAATTTTCCTGATTTAGAAGGTAAGCACGGCATCATGACACCTAACAAATGGATGGGCAGAATAGACTCCCTGACCATGTGACTGTGCTCAGGCTGCTGTAGCAGAGCACCACAGGCTGGGGGCCTTAACGACAGGAATTTATTTTTTCCTCAGTTCTGGGGGCCAGAAGTCCAGAGTCAAGGTGGGAACTGGGTTGGTTTCTTATGAGACCTCTCTCCGTGGCTTGTAGTTGGCCACCCTGTCCCTGTATCTTCGCATGGTTTTCCTTATGCCTGTGTCCTAATCTCCTCTTCTGATAAGGATACCAGTCATACTGGACCAGGGCCCAACTCTGTCACCTTGTTTTAATTTAATTATCTCTTTTTTTCCGAGACAGAGTCTCACTCTGTCACTCAGGCTGGAGTGTCCTTATAAGAAGAGGAGATTGGCCAGGCCTTGTGGCTCATACCTGTAATCCCAGCACTTTGGGAGGCCGAGGCAGGCAGCTCACTGCAACCTCCATCTCCCAGCTTCAAGCAATTCTCCTGCCTCAGCCTCATGAGTAGCTGGGACTACTGGTACCCACCAGCACACCTGGCTAATTTTTGTATTTTTAGTAGAAACGAGGTTTCACTGTGTTGGGCAGGCTGGTCTCCTTAAGGATCCTTAGTTTCCTTGTGAGAATCAAGAGAGATGAAAGTGCTTTGTAACGGAGTAATAATCATAAGAAACTCCTGACCTCGTGATCCTCCCAGCGTGCTGGGATTACAGGCGTGAGCCACCACACCTGGCCAGTCTCCTCTTCTTATAAGGCCACCAGTCATATGGGACCAGAGCTCAATTCTGTCACATAGTTTTAATTTAATTATCTCTCTCTCTCTCTTTTTTTTTTTTTTTTTTTTTTTTTTTTTGAGATGGAGTCTTGCTCTGTCACCTTGGCTGCAGTGTAATGGCGTGGTCCCGACTCACTGCAACCTCTGCCTCCCAGGTTCACGAAATTCTCCTACCTCAGCCTCCTGAGTAGCTAGGACTACAGGTGACCACCACCACACATGGCTAATTTTTGTATTTTTAGTAGAGATGGGGTTTCACTACATTGGCCAGGCTGGACTTGAACTCCTGACCTCATGATCTGCCCGCCTTGGCCTCCCAAAGTGCTGAGATTACAGGTGTGAGCCACTGTGTCCGGCCTTTAATGATCTCTTTAAAGGTGCTATTTCTAAGCACACAGTTGCAGTCTCAGATACTGGGGGTTAAGACTTCAATACATGAATTTTGGTAGGACAGGGGCTATTGGGGGTGGAAGGTAATATATTTCAGTTCATAACACTAACTCTAAAGTACTTGACTTTACAAAATATGAGGGTGATGTCCAGGCCTGCTCCCTGCTGTCTCTTGCCTTCTGTGGCTGCCTCCTTCTGCTCTTCTCCTTGACCCCAGACTAAGACCAGCAAGGCAGTCAGAGCAGGTCACAGAGGAATCCAGAAATTCAAGAAGAGGGTTTTGTACCAAGCAAATAAAAGAAAATGTCATCCATCTAAGGTTCATTGTTTAAATTACCATGTTTATTTACATCAACACAAAATACAATAATAAACACATCAAAACCATTTTATCTTCATGTAACATAACTCTTCAGTGAACAGAAATACTACTGTTAATGTTTTGGCCTTTCCAAGATCCCGCCTGGGGTCAAAACAGTACTCAGAGAAAGAGCAGATTCGACTCTACTCTAACACACGCACAAAGGTAACTTCTATTTTCTAAAATCCCGTTCCAGTAATAACACAAAAATACAACTGTAAGTCCACATAGAGGAGAGGACTGCTGTTGTGTCATCTGCATTGCAACCTGTATGTTGCGGCAGATTTCTCCCGGGTTCTGTGCTCCAGTCAGAAAATAGAGGAGGTATATCAGTCCTTTACGTTTTCAAGGTGACTGTTCAGTAATTCTTTCATTTAGCCAGGTGCTCTGTAAAAGTCTGATTTACTTGAGTTATTCGGAAACCAGCAGAAAAAGAGTCTCCAAATGATCAAATGTATACAGATCTATCTTGTAGAACTGAAGAAACTTACAGATTTTGCTGTGACAGTTCAATGGACAACCACAAAGCCTCTACTACATCACGAGCTAGTCACCTAGTAAAAGGCTTCACATTACAATTAATCAAAGGTAATAATCATTGCACAAAGTACAATACCTCATCTGTATTCCAGTAGTTAAAATGTTATTTGTTTAGTCTCAGTACATTTTCAAAGAAATGACTATTATCGCTTAACTAACACAATCTTTCTATTATTTCACTGACGAAAGAGACAGTTTCCTGCAGTGGAAAGAGGAGATAACTTGGAGTTAGAAGATTCTGAACCCAGCTCTGCTCACTCTGAGCCTTAGTTTCCTTATGAGGATCAAGTGAGATGAAAGTGCTTTGTAAAGAAGTAATAACCATAAGAAATAATATTCTAGAGTCCATCTCTTCCATCAGCTGATGGATCCCTAATTTGCACATGTATTTTGCAAGTGAAATCTTACCTCTTAAAGTAAATATATGATGCATATTCACCACATGCAGCTAAAATGTACAAGTTGGGTTACATAGATGGGAAAAGAATACGTATTAAAAAGCCGTTAAGACTTGTATTCTCTTGATATGCTTGACTTTAGCCATTAAAAATTTTATTCTGTTTAACACATGTTTCATTTATATTATTGGAGCTCTGTTTGAATAAACTAACCATTTAGGTAATTAAAAAAAGAACCTTTGTTTGACAATTACAGGGTTTAAAACACTGTGCAACTGAGTGAAATGGACTGAGAAATATAAGAGAAGTAACAGTTTGAAAACTCAGGGTCAAAAAGAAAACTGAGTGTAGAAGATCATTTTTTCAGGTAATTTAAAAATAAACTAACTGATGGAGTTGTTATCTTTTTATTTTTATAAGTGACTTCTTAATTTATAAATTACTTCTTCCTCATTTGTAAAACAAAATTTGTACTTAACATTTAAGTGTGTATAAATTCACAAAAATTATTAACACCTAATGTTCAGCCTTATACTTGGGATATCTTCAGAAGAATTGCATCCTCTTAGCTGAAGTAAACCAGAATCTCATTTCTCATAGATTAAGAGAGGGTATACTTCCTACAAGTTTAGAATTAATTGGCAAGTATAGATACACAATCTGAGTATATGGGCTTTGTGACTTTGCTGAGACAAAGAACTCAGGTAGCTGCATTCCTGAAACAAATGAGATTCTAATTTCAAACATTTTTCAAATGCAAATGAGGCCCCCATGAATCATTTTGATGATTTTTTGAGGCATTAATGCAACAGAGTTAGTATTCCTCAAATGATCCCCAAAGTCACCTCTTTGCTAAGGATATTTCTCTTCTTGATTATTTTGAACCTGCCAACAGTCTCTCACCTTCATGTAGAGAATAACTTATCTCCAAATGTCCTATTACTATCTTAAACCAACCTCATTTTGAAGCAACAAAGAAAGAAAAATTAAATAGCGCATTAACATTTCATATCAGTGAACAGAAGTTTTTCATGCACAAAGTGGTTCTATCCGTCTGTGGAAAGGTCCACCTTTTGTTTTTCCCTGTGTTTATAGGTTACATTTTTAAAAGTACTGGTGGAGCCTCTGTAGAGTGGATTGGTTCCCTAAAAAAAAAAGAAAAGAAAAAGAAAAAGATTCAAGTGAAAGTATGTGCATTTTCTTACTATACTGTTTTAATATATAATGCAAATTGGAAAAGGAGAGTCAAGCTCAATCTTGGAAACCATTGGAACAATTTTGATTCATTTGGTATTTTATACTTTTAGTGTTTTACAATTTCTATATTTTCATTTTGTTAAATATACAAAACAAGTCCCATATGTATATTCTAAAAAATCTTACCCCTTTTAATAATGCATGAATTTATGGATAGAAAACAAGGCTTTGGTTGTTGTGCTCACTGCTGTTTTCCCAGCACTGAGTCCCTGCCCCAGAGCAGGGACTCAGTGTGTATGGAATGAGTAGCATGAACAGTGATAGGTGAACCAAAAGTGAAATCAAAGCCAAAAAAGTAAAAAACAGGAAAAGTGAAACTGCTAGAAACATAAAAAAATGAATGACACAGTATCTGCCTTTAACAAACGTGTTACTGATGAGAAGCATCAAACAAAGGGCACAAATAATCGTGCTAAGATGAGATTAAAACTCAGAAAGGGGAGAAAGTAGTTGCTTAGGAGGAGTGAGGAACCATCCTCTGGACAGCTAACACTCGCCCCGAGTAGCGAAAGAACCAGCTGTCTTTTGCTTGCTATGCAAAACAGTGTGTAAGACTACCACAAGAGACTGATGTGGGGGACCCTGGGGTCATGAAAGAGTAGCAGTCCAAAGCCAGGCCAGGCAAAATGGCTTTGACCCGGCTGATTCCCCCAGGAGTCTGGGAGTGCTGATCATCTGGGGGAGTGGGGAGGTTGGATTTGGGACTCCTGGGTAGCTCAGCTGTGCTGTTTGGGTTGTAGATGTACCCTACGTGCCAACAGCAGTGGTGCTATAGCCAAGAGGATCTGAAGGTTCAGAAGGACCAAACCTCTCTCTCTAGTTGTTCCAGGCAGGAGGAAGCTGTCTGGGTAAGGTAGTTTCTTCTCTCCCACTTTCTAAGGTTGACCACACAGACTATGGCATCAGACAGCCTGGGTCCAAACCCAGCTGCACCACACAACTATACTGAAGCCACTCTGAGCATCGGTGTCCACATCTGTGCCTACCTCATCCAGGTAAAGTATTTTAGCACTATGTGTAGCACATAGCAAATGCTCCGTAAATGCTGTCTCTATTCATTAGTTCCTGCTTGTAGCTTTTCTTCACATTTGGATTTTCCTTTTCTTTTAAGTTTTAGAGAGGATTATAAAGATATTTTCCCCCAGGGCTTTGGTACAGTTAATATTTCTAAGCCCATTACTGAGTATGTATTGAATCCAGGTACCACCTCTTACCCTCCAAGTTAAAATCTCATACTTTGATCACCTTATTCCATGAACTATAGCTATGGTAGCAATTTCTAGGTGTAGATTTGAAAAAAAAAAAACATGATTATATGATTGTCTTTGCTTGCTTGGTACATTTCTTTTAGCTTTCAGAAGAATTGAATAAAACTGGAAATACTCCCTGAACTTTCCCACTCATTGACCTCAGCACCCTCACTGTGAGTGGGAATCACACCTGCACCAATTTCTACGTTGTCCAGAGCCAGTGGCCTGACCTCTGACTGAGTGACATGTTACCTTTGTTTGTGCCTTTGAAGAGATATGCTCTCTCTATAATAATAAAGCTCTCAGAAAAGAGCTTCCTTGGCTGGTGGTGGATGTGGGTGAAAGCTAGGTTGGCATATTGCTTCTATGCCTGAGAACAGCCTAGATAATTCTGAGGGACCTCTAGATCTCATCTAGTTCTACTGCCCTAAGAATTGGAGATTTTGAAGGCAAAGGGCAGACTGATGTGATTTTAGATGTACATGGAGTCTCATTTGCAAACAAAAATCATGCATGGAATTCTACTAAGTTTGAGAGACTAGAATGTAGTCTCTCGAATTTTGGTTACAGGAGAATGAGGGACTCAGCTGAAGAAACAAGATGGAAAAAAGTAAGAGGTTCAAGCCAGCAATGACAGCGTGAGCCTGTCCTGGAGGAAGTGGGAGCCTTGGAGCCTTTGTGAACAGAAACGATACTCTGAAAGAGGACACAGGCTGTGAACAGGGTCAGTTTAGAGCTCTGTAGGACCAGGTACTTTTTTGTGGGTGCACCCTATGTCATGTCAAACATAGAAAATACACCCATATCCCACACTGAATATAACTGATGTGCATTATGAGGAGGTGACATTGACAGGATAACAAAGTTATTTAGTAGATACTTAGTTGAATGTCTAATTTTGATGGTGGAGTTTTCATTCTGTATTTTAAAGCAACTTCATTCATTCAGGTCTGCAATATTTTGTGAGTCCCTTGCAAAACTGGTTTAGGGCCAAGGCATTGCTTATAGGGAGGGATGGGTAGAGCAGACTTCAGCAGAGTAAGAGGGTAAGGCGGAAGCGTAAAAGTGGACAAAGAGCAAGTACATATTGCCGTTGTGTGTGGTAGGGCATTTCCTGGCCTTCGCTGAAGATCAGAGGTCAGGAGAATGCATTGAGTTTTGTTTCAGGAGGACGTGTGGAAATGTCCATACTGCCTCCTCTAGTGCTCTGCCGATTGGAACCTCTCTACACAGGATTTCCAGCAGAAATGCAGGCTTGAGTCCTGCTCTATTTCAGGTGAGTCTGCACTCCACTGCTCAGAAAAGATCAGTTTTCCCCTAACCATCTAGGGTAACCAGGCTGATTCCCCCAGGAGTCTGGGAGTGCTAATTTAGGCTGTGGATTCCGCAAATGCAGTGGCACATTTTTTCAAGATTGAAAAAGTGGTAATAAGAAAACTCTGTCATGACCCACAGCTTTCTTTATGATCACCTAACTGCCAAATGCAGACCTGATTTGCTTAGCACAGTACAAAATCAATCCATGACTTCAAGAAATGTCAGGCTGAAAATTTTTTTTTTGCCGCAAGTTAATGACTTGTCATCCTAGAAAAAAATGTCTAATCAAAGATGAATTTAAATATGTTTCATTTGTGTTTTTATAAAGAATATGTGGGGGTGGCATTATTTTTAAAGCGTAATAAAAAGGTAACCTTTCTTTACAGCTGCTCTGAAATGTTTCAGGAGGTAGGAGTAAAGCTCTTTCTGTCTTGAACCCTGTCACTTTATGAGTCCAATGCAGTCCTATGGCCAGGAGGCCAGATTGTTCCTATTGTCCCTGGAAGGCCCTGGGTTTCAAAGACCAGTCAAATCCACTTCTTGAAGAAGAAATAGGTTTTAGAGAAAAACTCAGTGAAATTGAAGACCCTAAAATGTGTGCAGTGAGCGACATTTTTTTTTCAAGTAGGTATTAGTAAAATTTAAACTGAATCATTTGAGTTTAAACCTTTTTTGTATCCATGTGAATAATTACTAACCAGTCATTATCTAGTCAGGAACAATCAAACAATTGCTATTCAAAGAAACTCAATTTAATAAGGGAATAATATTTTCCATTTATGCTGGTTTTCTGTTTAATGCATATTTAGGTCACATGCTAGATGAAGAAACAACAAAAATTCGGCATTTGAATTTCAGTGATGTTCTACATCCTGAGGGAGAACAATTCATGTTTTTGGGGAAATTAACTGTTAATTAAAATGTTATTTTAAAGATATTAATCACTTGTCAGTATTTATGCCTCTGTATGAGAACACTGAAATGTGCTGGTTAGTAGATACACCTCACATAATTGCCCAAGTGTGTGTTTGTGGAGCACCTGCTTATTATTTCCAGGAGGGTCAACCAAAAGCTGTGCTTAGAAGAACAACGAATAATTAGGCTTCAGCTTCAGCATGCACCAAAAGTTGGGGAAGTCCCTTAACTTCTCTGAGCCTCGGTTTACCTTCTTTCAAAATGGGAATACCAGGTTTATGTCATGGGGTTTGCTGCTATTGACCTTTGTGGCAACTTAACCACATTATTTTACCTGGTTGCCCTTCTCACCATTGCCAGGCATTTGTTGGAGAGCTGATGAAAGTAAAAAATAACATCTATGGCTAGGGATCAGGTGAAGTGAACTGTCCTACAACTTTGGGCTCATTAGTACTGTGTTCTAAGTTGCCAAGCTAACTTGTCTGTTTACCTTTTACACTGTTAGAGATGAGTAAATTATATCTTCTCCTGAGGAATCTTGCTTAATTATGGGAAATCCATACATTCACAAAAAGAGGAAAGGCTATACAACAAACCTTCAAAGACCCGTCACTCAAATTCAACAGTTATCACAATTCTGCCACACCTGCTTCAACTATCTCTCCATCCCTCTCTCTCGGCTGAATTATTTCAAAGCAAACTCCAGCTTTCATTTCCTTTCACTCCTTCAGTATGCATCTCTAAAAAGTATGGATATTTTCTAGCAATATCAGCATTGCCATTATCTTACCTAATCAAATTAACCACACTTACCTGCTATCACTCTAATGCTCTGTGTGTATTAATCTTTTTTCAATAGTTTTATACATTTATTTATTATTTATTTTGGAGACTGGGTCTCACTCTGTCACTCAGCCTGGAATGCAGTGGCACGATCATGGCTCATTGCAGCCTTGACCTCCTGGTTCAAGCAATCCTCCTGCCTTAGCCTCCCAAGTAGCTGGGACTACAGGTGTGCACCACTATGCCTGGCTAATTTTTGTATTTCTTTTTTGTAGAGACAAGGTTTCACCATGCTGCCTAACTCAAACTCCTGAGCTCAAGCGATCTAATCCTCCTGTCTTGGCTTCCCGAAGTTCTAAGATTACAGGTGTGAGCCACCATGCCTATCCTTTTTTCCAGGTGTTTTGAAGGTGGATTATTGAAATCATGATCCAAACAAGATCCATACATTGCATTTGGCTGTTGTATCTAAAGGCATTTTTAGTGGAAAGATAAAGTAGATAAAATTTTTCATTGTTCATTGTACTGTACCATATATTATGATTAATTTAGAATAATTGCATAAAATATAAACATCCATTATCAAGATAAATGTATCAAAAATGGAAAATTCCATTTGCTTTCCGAATTGGAGGCATTGCTATAAAATTTGTTAACATGAATTTATTTGGGTGGATGAACCCAAAGGAGCATTGTGCCTGCCTGTATTTCCTCCAGTGATATCATTGTTGTTGCAATCAGCGATGTAAGGTAATTGATGTTAGATACCTGGACACATCATTAGAAATAGAGAGATGAAATTAAAACCATGAAATTGTTTCTAGGGGTCTCTAGAAATGTAATTATCTCTCCTGTGGAAAAGAAACACAGAAAACTATAGTCCTGTTTTCTGTTTGCCTCCTGTGAAGAGAAGACACTTAAATTATTTCTACTGAGTTTACATACTTAAAGGTTGAAACTTTTGTTTTTTTTTCCAGGTCACTGTTTAAAATTTATGTCATTCAGAGAAACTAACTGCATGACATTTAAAAAATCATCTCAATTTTGCTTTGTAACCTACTATATCGGTAACAAGTACTTCCATAGAAATTGGCATGAACTATAATACTACTTATGAACATTATTCCATTCATTATAACAAAACCAATTTATGGAAATGTTTAGATACAGCACCTGTGCTTTATCAAATAGGGCCTGAGGGATACTCTTAGTGGTAAGGAAGTAAAATATACTTTCCTGACGTCCCTGAGCAGTTGTCTCAGGAGCCTCAAGAGACTCTTCATTGTGGTGGAAATTCCCACTGCACTGAGACAGATATATGCTATGAGGGTCATCTGGGTCTAAAGAATGGGTAGAGGTTCCTTTGACCCTGAAGCAGAACAGAAATCAAAGCTGTTGGGGTCATGGTGAGAGTGGTAGAGAAAAAAATGTGACATTTGAACCCTCAGAGCAGAAGAAAGCTGAGCCCCTCAATATCTTCCACCAGGATCTTTCTCCCCTAGACAAGAGGTAAAGCTCTAAATTTTCACGTACCGTTTGCCACTTGGCTTTTGATCGTTCTGCTTCAAATTTAGCAACTTCTTTACGATCATGAAATGACACCAGCAGCTTCCAGATACACAGTAGGACAACCCCAATGAGAAGAATAGCCAGGGAAACCCCCAACATGATCATGGGAATGTTTGGAGGCTTTGGACAATCTGCAGAAATAAAGAAAATTATAAGAAGGTGGTAAAGTCAACAGTTTGACATTGGAAAGCCATTTCTTATTGGATTTTCCATCTACATTTTGAGCAGCAGAGGATAAATATTGACACCACTATTGCCTTGCTGAAATTTTAAAAATGAGTTACTTGTTAAAGGGTAGTCCTGCCTTCCTTCAAAGTAGAACAAAAGATAAAGGAAGAACTTAGTTACTCAAAGTAAATGGATCTAGACTTGATGGCCAACTTTAAAAGAGAATCCAAAAGAGTGATAATTAATGCACGTGGAATATTTAGAGGATTAAGAAAAAAACTAGTTTAATCACTAAAAATGGTCTCTTCTGAGTCCATGATAAAGCAGAAATGGAGTGTGTGTGTGTGTGTGTGTGTGTGTGTGTGTGTGTGTGGTATGTAATCACTTTTTCTTAGACCTTGTTGAATCATGGGCAGTCTAGGAGACTGTATTAAAAGTTACATAAAACCTATCCCTTGAAAAGATTACTATTTCCTTCTTTCTTTACAGACAGTAGACAATGATAGCTTTCAGTTCTGTTTTGGTGAACCGTAATGCAGTAGTCTGGTTTGGGGGAAGTTCTAGACTAGAGTCAAGAGAGGTGGATTCACTTCCCATCTGATGTACGTGGCTATGTGAATGTGATCCAGCCCATTGATCTCTCTTTGAGTCTCAGGCCCTTCATCTGTAAAACAAAGTTCAGTGTTCCCTTAACTTTTCTAATGACAACAATAAGCTGAAGTGTTCATGTTTATTACTAACACAGCTTCCTATATCCTTTCCCCAATATTCTGATTCAGTGAGTATTGGGTAAGGCCACCAATCTTTTATTATTAAATATTCTAAATGATTCTTATCTTCAAGGAAGTTTGGAAAATTAGATGTTCTGTAGGGTCCTTTCAACCTGAATATTCTATGAAATGTTATTTTGACTCTATTGATGAAATTAATATAATTTTGCAATCATACAGTACTTTTCCTCATTCACAGCAGAATGACTAATAGTCCTTGCAGTATGCCTCGGAGATGGTACATTTCTTAATGAAACATCATAATTATGCTCTCCTCTTTCATGGAAAAAAATCCCACATAAATTTATCATTACATATCTGCATCTCCCTCTGCAAGAACTGAGGCAAAATCCATGGTATCCAGGGAGGAAATAAATCATGCTTAGTTTATCCTAAGTCTTACTGCTTTTAGATATTTAATAAGGAGAGTTATACACATATGACTAGTCATACTATCTTTAAGGTAAGGATCTAGAGTCGATGTGAATCTGAGTGGGACTAATTACCCACTAACAGCGTGATGCCTGGCCTCACACACTTTTGTTCTTTGGCCAAGAAACCATGTAAGGAAATTATGCAGAAATAAATAAAGGAGTTAATGACATAGCTATTACTGTATGAAGATCTAAAGACTATATTCTTGCATAGCAAATGAACCATAGCTGCCTCTAATATGTTAGCAACATTCCTGCAAATAAAGTAGCAAGCTTGTGTCATGAGAATATATGCTGGCTACATTTTTGGCTAAGAAATTTCTGGGGTGGGGCAGAGTTTGTTCCTGCTCGAAGCAAGATGAAGCTTGCTACAATCCTGCACCTGGACATGAATTAGGAGGCTCCTCCAGGAGGGACTAAAGAAGGAATGGGTGTGGTCTGGCAGAGAAAATTATTTTCAGAACTGAAAGTCTTCAGGAATTAACCATTTCTCAAGAAAAGATTTTGGCCCAAGTGCCAGAGAAGGTCTTACACTATAGAAATCTTCACTTTTCATACTCTGATGTTTCTTGAGATGCTCAGACTGCATATGGAGGTTTACATGGAAGAAGAGGGTCACCTCTATCATTGTGTACAGTGTTGCCTCTCGAGTGCAGGTTGATGCAGCACCTACTTCTAAGGTCCTGAGTATCTAACTCTGCTACGTGTGTTACCAAATTTGGTAGCTCAGTGTGCCTATTGAGTGCTTGAAATGTGACTTTCCCCAATTAGGTTACGCTATATGTGTGAAATACACACTGATTTTGAACATTTGGTATGAAAAAAACGTAAAATATGTCAGCATTTATATTGATTACATGTTGAAATGAGAATATTTTGGATAAAATGGTAAATACAATTCATTATCTGTTTCTTTTACCTTTTAACGTAATTACTAGAAATTTTAAATTATATATTGATTTGCCTAGCAGCTCTGTTGGATGAGGCTGATCTAACATCTTTTTGTGATTCAGAAATGTATGATGAATGTACAGCCAGTAGGAGGCAGTAGAGCACAGTGGTTCAGACCATGGGCTCCCGACCAGGCTGTCAGAACTCTCCACATCAGCTCTGGCACGTAATTACTGCCAGACCTAGCAAATTATTTAATATCTCCATGCCTCAATTTCCTTACCTTTAAAATGAAAATAATAGTGGTACCTGTTTTATATGGTTGTTAAGAATATTAAGCGAATTAATACATGTAAAATATATAGAACATCTGGCAAATGGTATTAGTAAGGGCTCAAAAATGAGAGCTGCTAAAATAATAATTAATATTACTATAGTTACAGCAAATACAGCACTCTTTCCCCTTTTCTATCCTCATCACCTCAAGGGCCTCCTGAAGCCTCCAAGTTGGAACCTGTGGGTAAAGCATCTACACCAATTGGTACCTTCCAGCCAGGAAGCCTTCCCAACTATCATTCCTTGACTCCACTGTGGCTCTTATGCTCTGGAAGTCCCCCAGATGGTGGAAGAAAGAAAGAAGATGAAAGAAAGTGCCTATGTCCACAGCACCCTAGTGGTGACCCTTCACTCAGTTCTTGTTTCAATTTGCTTAGAGGACCCTGGGGATCATCAATCTCCCCGCCCCTTTCTCACGTCTCAGTTTGCTGCTTCTACCCAAGCCTCCACCAGGCTACCTGGTCTGAAAGATGGGAGACCGGAGAGACTATGGGCTTCTGGGGACAGGTTCTGCTCTGCTGGCTCCTGGAAGCCCCAGGCACTCAACCATGCAGACATTTGTTGAGGAAGAGGGAGCCTGGAAGCTGTCAGGTGACTCTTGTTAAGCCTCAGGGAGGTCATTTTTTCCCTCACTTTTTCCTACTACAAAAACATAGGGATAATAACACACCATAATAAAAAGCATCAGGGCATCTGTGTGTGCTCTGCAGAATGGCATTTGTGGTGCCACTCGTATTGTGTGGAAGAATAAAAGAACAGACAACAGTTCAGTAATGAGGCGGCATTTAGCCCAAGGCATGTTTCACTGAAAAAAAAAAAAATCACTAACTAGATACAAAATTCTCTGAATTAAAAGCAGGACTTATTCTGGAAATTTGTTTTTGTTGTTTGGAACTCATTTTTTCAATAGAATCAATACTGTAAGGGATGGCTTTGATTTCAAGATAACTTGCTAAAGCCACTGCCACAGTCACAAAGGGTCAGGAGTGTAGTTGGAGAATTTTATTTTATAAGACAGATAATGAGCAGGCAGGATTTTTTGGTATTATAAAGTAATTCTTCCTTGTACTGCAGGATTCACCTTACGTTTCTCTAATGAATGGCCATAAGACACATTTTATGTATGCATTTCAAAGAAGATGGTTTATGTAAGATTTTTCCAGAGCATGTCTCCAGGAGCACTCTGCATACCTAGGCTTCAAGGCCAAGTTCACAATCATCTTCAGATTCCTCGGATTGTGCCAACCTTTATTTCTCCCTTACCCTCAGCAACTGCAATGTGATATTTTTTCTGATATGTTTTCTTGATTGGGATATAATGGTCTTGAGCCTACCTTTTGGTTCCCTTGACATTGGCGTGGTTTTTATGCTCTTAAGTGATGCCAATTTGATACCTTTGGTTTCAAGTTCAGGACTTGATATTTTATCAGCACATCGATAAGCAAGCACACACACAAAAAAACACATCTATCTGCTTTATGGCCTGGCCTTATCAATATTGTCTGGGGCAGAACTTAGGTTCCAAGCTTTTGCGGGGAGGAGTTCGAGAACAAGGTTTGGTGAGGTCTGATTTAATGCAGCTGTCATATCTGCAGGAACGGTTTAGGGAGGAACACATCACTAATTAAAGACAGAAAATATGAGGCACCTATGAGTAAACGACAACACAGTCCGTGTTGTTACGGCTGTCACTCACAGGGAGATTTTGGGACCGTTTGTAACAGGCTTGCCAGGGTAGTTGTTAAAATGCAGAGCCCTGGGCCACACCTCAGATGATGCTGCCTCGGGATATAGGCATTTTTAACAAGTTCCCCAATGGAACCTGATACCCACTAAAATTTGAATCCTTCTCAATGAAAGTATTAATACTTTCTCACCTACTTTCTTCTCTACTAAATATAAACTTCTCTCTCCTTTTCACTGAATACAAAGTGTTTAAGGTTTTCCCAAGTCCTGAACTGACTCTTATGAGTTGGTGTGGGTGAAAATCCCTAGGTGCAATGGATTCCTTGACATCCTTCCTCACTTGCTGCTATGTCTTTTGTGACTCAGCATTATCATTTAATGACCTATTACCCTGAGTTAGGTATTGGCACTGTTTTATGTACATTATGCCATTACTCCTTGAGTAAACACTTAGAAAAAAGTACTATTATCTATATCATTTTACAGATGAGGAAATAGAGACTCAGAGATGCAAGTGTCTTCTAGAATGTCACTCAGCCATGAAATGGTGGGGAAGGATTTGAACCAAGGTTTGCCGGATTCACACTCTTTTAAAAAAAATGGACACATTCTTCTCTGTTACCCATTTCTAAAGATACACCTTTTGCTTATGTTGCATTGAATCCACTTACCTTTCCATATTTCATCAGCCAACTTTTTAGGAAGATGATGACCGGTGCAACTACAAGTCATCTGATCTGGTCTTTTTTTTTTTTTTTTTTTTTTTTTTAAAGATGGAGTCTTGCTCTGTACAGTAGCACTATCTTGGCTCAATGCAACCTCCACCTCCTGGGCTCAAGCAATTCTCCTGCTTCAGCCTCCCAAGTAGCTGAGATTACAGGTGTGCGCCACCACACCTGGCTAATTTTTGTATTTTTAGTAGAGATGGGGTTTCACCACGTTGGCCAGGCTGGTCTCCAACTCCTGACCTGAACTGACTGGCCTGTTTTGGCCTCCCGAAGTGCTGGGATTACAGGTGTGAGCCACCAGACCTGGCCCTTATCTGGTCTTAATGAGAGACACCGGAACATACTGACCCTTCTGATATGTTTCAATCCTTGGGAAAGTTTACGGAACTTTGTCAAAAATTTGGAAATGTCTTTCCTGGCATGCTACCCAGAGCGATTTTCTTGATGTTTTATCGTCTCCTGTGTAGTATCACTTGCCATCGGCAGTGAAAGGTAAACTACCCACCTTTTTCATTGATGCTGTGAATGATGGTTTTCCCCTCATTATCAGTAGTTATTAGGAATGTAATAAAACATTCATTTTCTCCTTGCAGAGAGCAGGTAACAGAACCATCCTTTGAGAAATCTGCAGATAATGGAAGTTATTTGGTTAAATGAGATTCCAAAAGAGATTACTTTAAAAACAAAAGTAGTATGGAGTTTTAATATGTAAATTAGAGTTTTCAGTGATGCAGAATGAGAATAGGAAAGGCATAGGTTTCTTTTTTCTCATTAAGTGAGGTTTCAATTTTTACTCACGTTCCAGAAGAACAGTTCCAGATGTGGTCAATCAGGACTGACCATCAAATGTACCTATCAAACAGATATGGGCAGGATTGCAACAGGCTGAACGTACTTCAAGGCAGGTACCCAGAGCTGCCTTGGGAATAGAATGGTTTTGATTATGGTAAAGAGAAGGCTACAGGTTCTTCTTTGCTGAGAGAATGAAGGATGTCTAGATTACATTCCTGCACAGTTCAAACGGATTCTCATACTTTTAAAGGTGTCTTTCTCATACTGGCATAGTCAAGATTGCTGGCCATGTATTGTGACAACAGTAATATAAATTAATATCAGGAAACTGAGACTGAAGCATTATGTAGCTCAGAGACCAGCAGGATAAAGGTAAATGAATCCACAGTGATAGTTTGTCTGTCATTTAGTAGAGCTCCTTTCTTAATTTGAAAAAAAAAAAAAAATCCAGTTTTCCTCAAATCTTTTCCAAGTGGGAAGTTTTTTCTTATTGAGCTTATTCAAGAGGCAGAAAACAAATTTTATGGCAGAAATTAAAAGACAGTAAAATGGCCAATCTGAGATGCCAATACTATCTACCAGAAATTTTAGTAGTCCAGGACCTATATCAAAATTATGTGGCATTTTCCTAATTAAGAAAACAAAACAAACTTGCTTAACTGTTCTCTTATCTTTTAAGTTGGAGACTTTTCAATGACAGTTACAAATACTGCTTTTCAGAAACCTGTAAGTAGAAGATCTTTTGCTCTTAACCTAAACGTTTAGGACATAGGTCCAAAATTAGAGTGTTATGCTGCAATGGACCAGAACGTTAAAACTGGGGCTGCCCCTGATAATGTTGAACATACTTCTACTAGACTTAAAGGCCTCTCTCATTAGATTAAAAGTCAAAACATTAATAAAGCATAATCTAATGTGTTTTCTGATTCTAAGAAAAATTAAATAATAGCCTGTTTTGGGTACCAAAAAAATGCCATAGCTCTTAAGTTGCTGTTTGTGGTCTTTATATTTCGTTCGAGATGAAAAACCCGACAGCGTCTGTGAGAAGAATACTTTGTATTATCTGAAAACAGGAACCAGCAAGACGTTTAGCATTATAAATAAGATTTCAGATGTTGGATTTAAGTGCCCAGACTTTTTTTGAACCCATGAGAAAGATCTATTACATGGGAATATTAAGAAATCTAATTACAAGTCATCCCAGTCTAGTCATTGCCAAGTGATTATGGTCATCTAAGTCACCTGGGAATTTTGAAAACATAGATTCTGGGGACCCACCCTTGGGTATTCTGATTTGAAAAGTTGGCTGTAGGCACAGGAGCTTGCACACTTAGTGAGTTGTTTAATAAGTATTTTTAAGAAGGTGATTCTCTTTAAGAGATTTGCTGAGATGTGTGTTATTTCACATGTTTGATTGCAAATGCTACTGCATATATAATTCGTATGTTGGTTATTTTATTTGGGTTTTACCACACCTCCTGTTACCTTGCCACTCCAATTAACTAGGATTCATGAAGTCTTGGGGACTTTGCGTTTTATCGGAGTGTTTCCCCCTCTCTGCGGTAACAGTGCAGGCTCACTGTGCTCCCTTTGAACATACTTAATGGAACATTTTATTCTGAGGTAGGAAATATGTGAATGGCTTATCATACTCCTTTCAGTAATATTAACCATGTTTTTAAACATTTTCTTTCAAATAGCTGCACTGAAGCCTAGGGAGGCTTACTTGACCTGGCCGGGGTTATTTAAGTGTTAATGGAATGGCAGAATATGACCTTTGAGTCACAACTCCTATCTTGCTTTAATTACCTCGCCACTCCTTTTCATGACTGTTACAGCTCTAGATGTAGCGTGTTCAGTAGTGTTTGAGTATTGAAATAGTATTATAAAATGTGCAATGACAGATTTGCGTAATTCACTGCTAAGGTTTCCTTTTGTTGTTCATAGAGAATGGACCTCTCTTTTTTCTTTTCCTTTGTGAATGTCTACAGTGCTGCTCTAGAATAATACAATGAAAATAACAAGCCAGGCAGTCCATGGAACCATACTCAGAGAAGGAAGAAATGTGAAAACAGGGGTGAGGAGGTGGGCCTGGGGTCCAGGGATGGTGTGAAAAATACAAAGCATCTGCACCACTGAGTCAAGATGGCCATATGTTTAAGACCTCAGCCCTAGGATTAGTTAGCAGTTTTCAAAAAACAAAACAACATCAACAGCAAAAACAGAAAAATAATAACATTTCCCAAGGAAAAAATAAGGGGTTTATAGTCAGATAAATTTGGGAATCCTTCATTTATTCCCGTTCCTCCCCTTGTCATTCCTGAGGATGCACAACGCACACTTAATTTATATGCATAACAACTCTTAGAAGTCCTGCAAAGAAAACAAGAAACTCAGTTTCCTGTTTTTAAGATTTATATGACCAGGGTGCCTTTTTCCATGTAATGCTTTCATATCTAGGGTTGCATGGAATATACTTTGAGAAACAATTCTCTGAGTACCTGCATGTTAGGGCAAATTAAAAATATGACTCTCAAGCCGGCCACTGTGGTGCACACTCATAATCCCAGCACTTTGGGAGGCTGACGCGGGCAGATGACTTGAGCTCAGGAGTTTGAGACCAGCCTGGCCAACACGGCAAAATCCTATTTCTACAAAAACTACAAAACATTACACTGCATATGGTGGCACATGGCTGTCATCCCAGGTACTCATTAGGCTGAGCCTGGAAGATTGAGAATGCAGTGAGCCTTGATCGCACATTACACTCCAGCCAGAGAGACACAGTGAGGCCTTGACTCCAAAAAAAAAAAAGAAGACTCTCAGTAAAATGGGATAAATAAGGTTAATAGCATGTCTTTTGATATGCCCACCTACCGTACAATTGAGGAGCAATCATACAGATTATAAAGTTGCGTTTTTATTTTACTCTCCATGAGTAAAATAAAATTCCCTTCATTGGGGGAAGGGTAGGTTGTTAAAAGACTCTTAGGATGAGCAAATATGATGTGATCCTTTCAAGGTAGTATGATCAGTAACACAACTGGGTGAGTAACTTGAAATAAAGCTCATAAAATGGCTCATTAGAAAAGTGGCTTTTAAACACAACCTAAATTAAAGATATTTCTTTCTCTCAAATTCATTCAGATTAGTACTTTAAATGGTATCAGTAATCCAATTTTTATATTCAATCTCTGAGTTAGAAATGGTTGTATTTCCCTATTTTGAAATAATTTGTCAAATACACAAAACAATAATGTAAGTATTTTAAATGCCACTGGAGCCCTACTCTTCCTCTCCAATCTCAGCATTTATGATAATCTACTCAAAAAATTGTGTACTTAAATATAGTAAGTACCTTGTTCATGCCATTATGACTTACATGTATGTAAGGTTTACTTCTTTTTTTCTTCAACACATTAGATTTCCCATGTTCCTAGTGCACTGAGGCCTAGAAATTCTCAGAGCATTTTCTGCAATTTGTACACATTTCTCAGAAACACTTGGTAAATATCCCCATTGCTTGCTGTGAAATGAGCCCAGAGGTGATGCTGGGACTTTGCACCAGGCACAAATGTGGGAATTCCACAGAGGCTGCCTGCTCAGTGCTTTGATGTATCTTGTTTTTGGTAGTAGTGTAAGGTGCACACCATCTTGTCTAATTTACTGCTATTTGGCACGTTTATCTTTGGTTACAAGAAAAGCATTGGTGAGGGGTTTTATGAGCACACATCATGACCCTCCATATAGGATAATCCAATTGTGCATAGCCAGAACTCTCAATTTTGAAACAATGTAAGTAATTTTCAAAATAATATAAAGTTCATTAACTCATTCCATACTGAACATGGATTAATTTCTGTATTCCAATTCCATATATTCAAGAGACATATCCTGGAGGTTCACACATAATTGGCTTATTTCACTTCACCTGAGCTACATCTTGGTCACATCTCTAATGTGTGCAGAGTGGTAATTCTACCCTGAGTTGCATGATAATGCAGCAAGTTCAGGATGATACAAAATTAAATTCTCCCAGGTTGTCTCTGTTGGAAGAGTCGGTCATCACCTTTGTTTTAAAGTCCACAAATTATTGTTTAAACAGCATTGCCAGTTAAAAAACAAAACTATTTAAATATTTGAGGTGCAATTTTGCCTCTAGACTCTGATTCTAAGTAATTAAATTAAAAATGACAGATGAAAGCAAGAGCAGTTTGCTTAGCATAAAAAGAATAGGTCCTTCTTGTATTTTGCGGAGTAAGGCAACAGGGAATTAAGGATGGCCATGGTAATGCCCATGTTTGGAAGGCTGGGAATAAAAGTATATGGAGGGGTGGAAAAATGGTCACTAACCAGAGAACACCCAGTATCTGGGAGCCACCATCTGGAGCACTGTTTTCCAGCTGGCTTTATCTTATCTTGAAAAAAGCAATTGGATGATAAAGGGTGAATTCAGGTTTGGGGGCTAACATTTAGCCATTTCTTCAATTTTTCTCGCTTTCTAGTTTGAAAAATATAGCATTCTGGAATTTCCTACAGTTGAATTTGTTAAACAGAGGTGAACTTGGCAACAGAGCTGAAGTCAAATAGAACAGCCACACCTCTGAAATGCTTGTGTCCTGAGCCGTCAAGTTTCTAGCTTTACAGGATGCATTTACTCTTAAAAAATGAGTGTGAGTGAGCTAATGCCCTGGTACAAATAAAGTCAAGTGACTAAATAGCCCTCAATTCACAACGGGTCAAGAACTATGCCTCTCAAGAACGACATAAGGAAATTAAAAAACAAAACCAAAAACCAAAAAAAAAAAAAAAAAAAAAAAAAAAACCGTTAAGACAAGCAGAACCTTCTTCTTCACTGATGGTCGCACCAGCTAGTTTGCACTTGTCCACACATTCTTCTCGGGCTTGGCCAACTGCTGACAGGTGGCACTCAATGCAGCTCCTGTGGACAGTATGCAACAATGTATCAGTTCATGCTGGTGGAAGATAGATTTGCAGCTTGAATATTGCTTTACTGCTGTTGCTGCAGTTTGTGCTATAGGAGTATCTCACAGATGTCATTATCTTTTATTACTTTCAGAAAGATAGTTAAGTGATGTCCAAGTGAACACTGAATTATTCTGAATTGCACTCAGTAATCAATGTTCCCTGAGCCAGCTTTGATGTAGCTACTAATTTTATTTACCTATAATGATTGCTCCGGATTGGTTAAGTAAACAAACAAAGAAAATAAATTATTGATTTACCTGTTTTCATTTTACTTTTTTCTAGGGAGAGCTATGTTCCTAAAATATGATTAGAGACGAGGCAAAATTTTGAATTTCTTAACAGAATGGTCTATACCTTAACCAGAATTTCAAGAACGATTAGTGGACTTTGTATTATCTTATATGATTATTGTAAAAATTCACTTTTCTGTAACTCTTTTGAATAAGCCTAAGTCTTAATGAAGGTGTTTTCAAGAGCTGTGGATAAGAGCCTGGATCCTCATTAATACAGACTTTTAAATAAAAGATCACTATTTATAGAAAAGTACATTTCCAAGAACATCGTCCAAGAATTAAGCTACTCTAAAGACATCTATAGAGCAAAGTAAAATTTAGACCCTGAATTAATCTTGTGCTGAAAATCACTTTGCAAATAGATTGGGCTTGTTGTAATTCAAAACAGCAAAAGTTTTTTACTGTGGACACACATTATACAGTCTCTCTGTCCTCTGGCCATGGAAATGTATGCTCTACCAAGAGCTTGAAACACATCCCACCTCCATCCATAACTCAGCAAATCTCAGCTGAAACTGCACTTCCTTAGGCAAACTTCACTTAACATTAGACCAATCAGTTCCCTTGCAGTGGAAGCCTCAGGATTTTTCCACAGGAGGGGCAATGTGTCAGGCAGTGGGAAAGGTTTTACTGTGAAGTTTTGCCTTGGCATTGCAAATGCATTGCTCTTATCTAGATTGTATATTTATTTGGCGTGGTTTTGAAGGGGTCTGTTGATCCCTTAAAATCTCTTCGCCTTTGTGCATCTCACTGATGGCTGCACTAGCTAGTCTGGTAGCCTTATCCCCTGCTGTAGCGTTCCATAGCATTCTCTATATTCTTTATTAAAAACTGTCGGCCTAGACAGCATTACAATCACTTTAAAAGATGTCTATCTTTCCCGCTAAACTCCCTGTACCTGTGAAGGCAGAGACTGGAGCTGTTTCAGTCATCATTGCATTGCTCATGGCCTAATATGATTCTTAGCATAGAGTAGGCACTTAATACCTACTTGATAAATGAATACATGTGTGAATAAATGAAAAAAAATGGACTCATCTCAAAACTAACATAAATACGAAGGAGGTCATTCTACCTGATTTCCAAATTCAAACGGCTTTGATTGTAAATTTTGTAACTTGTAATTCAGATTTAAGATTGAATCATTTATAGAGAAGATGAAAGAGAAGAGTAATAGAAGAAACATCTTGAAGGGACATTTTACATTAGAGCCTATTCAAATCATCCTAATCATGTCCTTGTGCTTCTCCTGACATGTGTCTTGTCTTAGTTTGAGTGACAATGGAAGAGAAGTTTTGACACCTGAATGATGAGTAACCACTGAGTGAAAAATTGCTTTTCTCACCCTGTTTATGTCAGAAATGCAAATGTCACCATTTTGGGTATCAGAGTTAATGAAAATCTGAAATGTTTATGCATATTTGCTGCATAATACATTATCCAGTGCAATATCGTAACAGTCATTTTGGAGGCTAGCTTCACTTGACCTACAAATGTTGCCCCAATTTCGTTAAGAAATTGTGAGGTTTTATTGTTGTTATTGTATATATGATATAAAAGAAAATACACAATAGCTGTGCATAATGGCAACCAAAGAAAGGCGCCAAAGAGCATGGGTGGTAAAGAAGCAGGAGAGAATTGAAAGCTAAGATTGTCTTTCTGCCTTTTTGCCTCTGTGAGTCTATAGTTAGGAATGAATCAGTAAGGTCAGGCTATAAACTTCCAGATAAGAAAGAAGCTTGTCTGTTTCCCCAGAAAAGGTACTGACTGCCTGTGGGTGTCCTTCATCTACCTCCAGGGCATTCCTTATGTGTGGCTGGTATTGTAATGGAGAGGTGATCTGATGTTATCAGTGTGGGACATCAGCTTGACTTCCCCACGCTAGTCTCTAGCAGAAATGTGACATTGTGATTCTGCCTAATCAGGACTGAGAAAGAGGTAAGCCAGAGATTGATGTTCCAGGCTGAGGATCACAGAGGTCCTGTGGGTTTTGATGGATGTTTGGAGACCAAACCCAGCAAATACAATCTGAGGTCTGAGTTTACAAAAAGGCCATTATAAGTTTGATCACCACAAACCTATCCAAACAGAGGAAAGCAGACATTACCGTTTTGAGTTACAGGGGTCACCACAGGTAGGACATCGTTCGCAGGTTGGTCCTGAGGCTCCGGGGTTTGTGCAAACACACTTGCCACAAACGCAGTCCCCTCGCCCGCTGCAGAGCACTCCGTCTTCAGAGACGCAGGAGTCCGTGCTGGTGGTGCAGTTGCAGTACTCGCCAGTCCAGCCGCTCCTGCACACACATTCACCACAGTCACAGTCGCCGTTATCTGTAAAACAAAGCGCTCTATGCTTCTCACAGCTCAAAAACACTTGCAGATTTGAGGGAGTGTGGGGTACAGGGGCATCTTTTCTCTTTGTCTTTAAGCACCATCATCAAAAGACCAGAAAAAAATGAGAAAAAAGTGTACACTTTTTTGGGGGTACGGTATGACTGTAGGTATATGCTATCAAATGTGTCTTGCTAATTGTGCATACTTAGATCTGGTCTCCTAACTGAAGATTCACTTGCTTACTTGATGTTTGCAAACCAAAAATAAAAGTGTAAGCCTCTCAGCCAACTGAACGGACCCTTCCTCTTAGCCAAGGGCATTCTAAAGTAAAACTGAAGCACTAGCCCAGGCTGTGATGAGAGTGGGTGGTCTGACATGCCTTATTATACCCTCCTCCCTTTGGAATTCAGGCATAGCTGACCAGCATTCACAAAAAAACAGAAACCTTAAGACTGACAAAGCAGACTGTAGCAATAAGATACCAATATGATAGATAGCAGGTCCTGAAAGTAATTGAAGTATTTTATCCCAAAATATATTTCTCTGACATATTTTTAAATGGCCCGACCAAGCTGTCTTTTGTGGGGAGCATCTACATTCTGCAGAGGATCCCCTTTTCTTTCCAAATCTTCTTCCTGATCCAAGAGAGACTTAAGTAAGAATCTGGAACTTTTTTTAAGTCTAGGAAACACTTGCAATCTGTTCTCTCTGAAGCCTGCTACCTGGAGGCTTCATCTGCATAATAAGAACTTGGTCTCCATAACCCCTTATCATAACCCAGGTACCACCTTCTACTGATTCCAGATCTTTACATAAACTCTTTTAACCAATCACCAGTCACTACGATCTGGAAGCCCTGCCCCTCCCCTTTGAGTTGTCCCACCTTTCTGAACCAAACCAATGTACATCTTACATACATTGATTGATGTCTTATGTCTCCCTAAAATGCATAAAATCAAGCTGTTCCCTGACTGCCTTAGGCACAGGTTCTCAGGATCTCCTGGGGCTGTGCCATGAGCCATGGTCACTCGTATTTGGCTCAGAATAAATTTCTTCAAATATTTTGCAGTGTTTGGCTCTTTTCATCCACATACTATATCAAATAGAATTTGTAATCAGACCAAATGAGATAATCCAGAAAGCACGTAATAGATACTTGATGTGAATGTGTATCTCTATGCATATTTGTTTATTTATTTTCAGTTTTTGCTTTTAGTTAAGATAGCATTGGGTAATGACACAGACAGACCTGGATTAAAGCCCACCCACTATATCAGTCAAGCTGTGTGATCACAAGAGCCTAAACTGTAAAATAGAGGGAATAAAGTCTGCTTCCAAAGCTTGTGACTGGATGAGATAATGTATGCATCTCCTAATTTTGCATTCACCAATTAGATGTCCCAAAGGCATACAATGAGTGCTCAAAAAATTCACTACTTAACACACTTTAATTGAGCATGTACTATGTGCCAAAGATTGTATTAGGTATGAGGATATAAAATTAAATAAGACAAGGTCATCGAACTTATAATTTAGTGTGGGAGGCAGGCTAATGAATACTATTAATAAAAAATATGCATAGGGGAATAGTTTCCAAATTAAATTGGAGATTTGAGGATTTCCAGTGGAAGTGATGCTTGAGCTAAATTTGAGAGATATATGTTCCATTTCAGGAACGCGTGTGGAATCATGTGACCTGCTTACTACCCATAGAACTTTTCTATGGATAGAGCCAAAGGTGCATATGGAGTGTAGCAGGAGCGTAGGATGGAAACGTCAACAAAAGTCAGAAATCAGACCATGGAAAACCTTACTGGCTAAAGGAAGAGCTTCTATCCTGAAAGCTTTGTCTAGACATTTTTTAGCATCAGTAGACAGGGTCAAACTAGAGACAGAAAAATCAGGAGTAGAGGCAAACAGATATGAGACCATGAACCAAGGCAGTGCCCATGGGAGCAGAGAGGAAAGAATATATATTGCAGCATGGAATGCTCAGGGTGTGGGTGTGATTGGTGCCAAGTGGAGGGTTGAGGGAAGAGACAGAGGGAGAATTCTCCCCAGGTGCCTAGAGTGAGCAGCTAGATGGATGATGTGGCCTTTCACTGAACTGGAGTAGCCAAGCTAGCTCCTGGTGTCACCAATGCCTAGCACAGAGTAGGACCTGATTGTTGAGTCCTTGGTTCTGAAGCTGAGGAGGAGAAGCTTCCAGTGGGGAAGATGACGAGTTCACTTTTGGCCCTGAGGAGCTCAAAGGGGCCTGTGGGACATCCCAGGAGGTGGCTGAATATACATATGGGCCAGAAGTTTGGGGTTTGGGATCCATTAGGGCAAGTTGATAGTTGAAGCTGCCGTGGGTCAGGTCATCTAGGGCAAGCAGGTAGAGTGAGAAAAACTCTGGAGAGCTTCAGGACCTAAAATGTGATCAAAGGATCCTTATAGAAGAGACTGAGAGGTAGGGGGGGAACAGAAGTGATGATGCAGATGCCTGGGACAGAGACAGTTAAAGAGGGAGGCACCTGGACACTTTTGCTGTAGACAAGAAGCCCATCTCATCCTGAAGGGCCCCTTTGGATATGGCCACGTGATGATGTATGAAATACTCCAAAATGTTTTAAAAAGTGTTGAAAATAATGGGCTTGTGTGTTATTTCCGTAATATTATTCTGGGTGCCTACCATGCACAAGATACTAACATAGGCATTGGATGTTCCAAACAAATAACATTTATTTACAAACTCTTGTAACTGATATTTTTCTTCAAAAAAAAGAAAGAAAGGAAATGTGCACTAGGCATTTTGCCTCACAAGTTTTGCTCTTCCAGCAAAATTTAGGATTACCTAAGACAGTATATAACAGTGTTTAGAATATAAATAAACACTATATAAGTGTTAGTTACTGGCATTATTTCTAAAAGCTATCAGTAGGAAGAATTTGTAAACAAAATTATCTATCAGTATTAAATTTCCTATACTTTTACTGAAAACAAAGTACAGTAGATGCAGAAAAAATAATCACAAGTGAAACAGGATTCTACTTGTAGGAGACACTGCTAAGTTCACTGTAGGAGGAAGAATTCTGGACTTTCTCTTGTGAGCTTTGGTCTAATAAACTGCTTACTTTTCTATCTTGATGACTGGGCTCTAAGAAACCTGGAGTAGGAGAGTCCTGGGCTTAATTCTTTGATCAAAAATCACCAAACAAAGAAGATGAGAATCACAAAGATTTTGAAGTTGGATTCTGATTTCTCTAGGCATGTGTGTGCATATATGTACATATGTATGTGTGTATATATACGTATATGTGTGTATAGACACACATACACACACAGAGTCATATGTCTTTTAACAATGGGAACACGTATCGAGAAATGCATCATTAGGTGATTTCATCGTTGTGTGAACATCACAGAGTATATTTACACAAACTTAGGTGGTAAACCTACTGCACATCTAGGTTATGCGGTATAGTGCTCCTAGGCTATGAACTTATACAATATGTTACTATAATGAATACTAGAGGCAGTTGTAACGCCATAGTGAGCATTTGTGTATCTAGACATAGAAAAGGTACAGTAAAAATACAGTATTACAATCTTATGGGACCACCATTGTATATGTGCTGTGTTGTTGACAAAAATGTCATTATGTGGCACATGACTATATGTATATACATACGTATTCTTTCTCTCTATACATATTCTCTATATACTCTGTGTATATACACATACACATACACATATGTATAGATGCTTCTGGACTTATGACAGGATTATTTCTGGATAAACTCATTGTAAAATGTAAAACAATAGGTTTATCCAGATACAGCATCACTGTAAATTGAGCAACATACTAAATTCATATCACTTTCACACCATCTTAAAGTGTGTGTTCGTGTGCATTACTTGTCTAATGAAAGATGAGTTGAAATTTATCTGGATTCATGATATTAAGGTATATTTCAACTGCATTTCATAACCTATGCAATTTATAATTGACATAATTAATTCAAAGCTAAGAATAATTAAATGATTTGGCCCAAAGCCATTAATTTCATTTTTTACATGTAAGTAATCTTCTAAACTACAATGTATCTTTGTTTTTTCTTCAGCAAAAGGGGAAACTTACTTTTATGTCAGAAAGAAATTCCATATTGCAGTTGATTCTGAAAAATTAATATGATTTACAAATATTAAATGAAAGATGCATTTCCAAATGCTTTGAGAATGCCCAAGTATATCATTGCATATAGGAAGTACTTGACGGAAATTTATAAAATCTTTCTTGGAGCAGTAGAAAAGGACCATTATGGCAAAAACACAGAGCTTCTTTCAGAATTTAGAAGTCCTCCTCTTTGCTGGCCTTTCAGATCCCCTAACCTGGTTTCCAAAGTTGCTAATTGATATTCTCAACCAACCAATTATCTAGAGTACTGTTTCATACAACAACAACAACAACAACAACAACAACAACAACAACAACAACAAAACTTCATATTGGCTTCATGGAGGGACAAGATGATAACCAAAGATCAAGAAAAAATTACCACGCTACTTCAGAGGGATAGATCTTTCTGGAATGCTATTGACAGTAACTGTAAGTGCATAATAGCAGGAAGTGTTTCTCTAATGCCATTTGGCTGTTAGTTTCCATCTCTTAGAATCAAAATATAGAAGACGAATGGAATTTGGGCAAGGAAAAAATCAATGGAACCCTATATTTTTGAGTGCTTACAGACAGATGAAAGAAGCTATGAAAAAGAACATTGTGATAATAGCTCTTCAGAAAAGTCACATATTGCTGAGTACATTAATTATAAACTAAGTGAGATTCACACAAGTCGTGAGCTATAGCATGTTTGATCCTCTGTTGCAAATAAAACAACGGCAGCAGTAGAGTCTCTATTCCAATGCCAGGCACAATTTTTGTCCCTGCACTAACCACAAGGCCAGGTACATAGTAGGTACTCCATAACCATTTGTTATAATTGCATTTACTTTTATTATACCATTTGAAAGAAAAATTACTAATTATAGAGCAACATCCTTTGTGATGTCACTAAAAACCAAAATAGCTTTTGAGAAACAGTAATGGTTGAAGGAAATTGGCATAGGTGAAATTTTCTGAATCTAGCTAAATAAATCATTCTATTTTCTAAACAGAATTTCTGTAGCAATCACTGTATCTGATTCAAAGAGAGAGACTATTGTCAGAACTTCCTAGCTGCAATCCACAGATCAAGTCAACTTTTTTTGAGATTATTTCTGTTTCTCATGCATGGTAAAAAATAAAGTAAAAGACCATTAAGGAAAGCTCTGTTGCAAAACACAATTCAGCAATTTATACCCCCTTAGATCTCTTTGATCCAAGATTTAAAGGGTGAAATATAGGTCGTGTTAGTATCTCTATTATATTCTGTTAGATTACGCTTAGGGCTTTTTGAAAGGTAATTTCAAGTGTTTTGAACATGTATTTTATTACAAGATTTCTATTAGACGTGCAATATGGGATTCTGCCCGAGATACCCTCTCTGCGATGCAGTGATGGCTTTTGGATGGCTTCCTGTTACCTTCAGATTGTGCCCCATCTGTGTCATGTGAAAAGAGGACTTACGTGGGTTTGGAAACACACCTATTAAACCAGGAAATAAACCTTAGAATGAAAAAGGAGAGAAATGTGTCTTTATCAGCACAGACCATAAATTTTTCACTCTCTGGGGGGAAAAAGTCATATATTCTCAGAAGAAGCTTTTGGTTGCAACAGCAGCAGCAATGAAATGAAAGGTAGGTACGCTTCTAAGGGTATCAAATGGTTTTCAGAAAGCCTGGAATTCTTTGATGCTTCTTTCTCTCAGGTCTTTTTTTCCCCTGAAAATTAGTGTTTTTCGTATGTTCCTGACATTGTCTTTTAAAAACCTAACTTGCTTAGTTTTCTATAAAGATAATGGCTTTCTGACTTGAATAGCTGTCTGCTTACATAGTGTGAACAGAGACATTAAAGCTTAAATTCAGCATTCAGTTAATATTTCAATCTATAACACAAATTTGTATTGTTTAAAAGTATATTAACATATTGGTAATTCTTTTCTGAATACGTTATACTTATATATGTATATATATCAGAATGATTTTACAAGTCATATACAATATATCCTTAAATGATAGTGATTTCACATCTACATAGGATATTAAAACATGCATATTTCTATTTTAAATTTTTCTCAAATTTCTCAGGATATTCCAAGCAATTTTCCATCTTTGTCCTTCCTGTATGCCTTTTCACATATGCACTTACCCATCTTTCTTATACCCAGTGCCTAACCTAGTATCTGCACTTACTAGGTATTTAATAAATATTTGTGGAATGAGTGAAGGCCCTGAAAGCCTGTTTAGTATATGTTTGTGCTCCTTATCCTTGGTAGCATGCTCATTTAGCTGTCCATCTAGTTTTTACTTTACCAAAGTCATATACATTTAAAAGGCCAGTCAGACATAGTGGCTTGATCCAGAAAAACCTGGAAGGTAACAGAGTTCATATTACAGGCACTTTTGTAGAGTTCAAGTGACAACCAGAGAGAAGGCACTTTTATCTTTCACTTACTCTCAGGGAAACAATAATAGAGATACAAGTTCAGTTGGCAGAGATCTCACCCCAAGTGAATGTTAGAGCCAGAAAACCTACAAGAGAAGATTCAGTTACCCTAGGTCTAAGGTTGAACAGCAAATATTTATTGAGCACCAACTATGCCCAGGAAACTGTGGAAGGGACAGAGGATGCCAAGCCCCTTGCTGAGACTTGAACAGCCACAGGGTAAGATGGATTTGGACATAGCCTACCTCCACAGAGCAGCCCCTTGTGTCTCACGCAGGAGAAATTGTCACATTGGCAATAAGGCCCGTAAATGTTTCCATAGGGAGACAAGTGACAGATACACTGCCCACAGTAGCAGTCACCCCTTCCGCTGCAGGAGGGATAATCTGGGGCCTCTTTGCAGGAATCCGTGCTCAGCATGTCCTCGCCACACTCACAGTGAGGCCCCATGTGGCCGGGGTGGCAGGCACACACCCCGCACTGGAAGGAGCCGTTCCCATGGTGACATTTGGAGCTGTTCACTTCCACTTCTTTCTGACAGTCGCAGTTGCATTCCGGACTGACAAGTATTTCCAGGGCGTCCCCCAGCCCCACAGGCTTTATGATAATGTGCCTGCTTCTTCTCTCACAGTTTGGGATAGTCACAGTCACGTTGAAGGAAGCCTGAAAAAGAAAATACTAATTATCTCCCTGCATCCACCAAAATGCATGAGGCGAAACAAGGCTGCACGGAAATCAGCTCTGCCAAAAGCATTTGCTAGAAAAATCTTTGAAAATTGCTTTTAAAATTCTTGAAAGAAATCCAGCTTCAGTGAGCTCAGCTAACTTCTGACCCATCCAAGTATTTATCCAGATGGTCTATTGACCAGCTACTTACTGTGTCCCCCACTTTCATGTGAGAGCATTTCTTTTGGTGTGGGAAGAGAGTACCGTTGTTACAGATGGCTGTAAACGACAAGTTGAGTCCTTCAGTGTCTCCTAATACTTCCAGTTCCACCTCAGACCGCAGTTCCTTTAGTTACAACATAAAGAGTTCAGTGAAGTCACTACCCCAAAAATATAGCCAGAAGAAGAAACTGTGAATCATGCGCTTTGAACTACAAATGAACGAAACTAAATTGGGTGTCAAAAGAAATTCAGTATATCATCAGTCAAAAGTAAGAAAGTGAGCAATCAATATATACATTTTATATGTTACCATATCTAAGGCATCAACAATTATAAGATACGCCATTCATTATCTTATGACAATTAAACTATGACAAAATACCTCAAGATATTCTGCACAACCTATGAGTCAGTCCTGTTCATCTATCATTGCTTTGAAAATTATTTTACCCATACTGAAAGATTTGGCAAATTCCCCTGCCCTGCATTGCATAGTTTGGCATATGAAAGGTAATTCTTTTGCTTCTATCTCCATAACAAAATTTAAAAATAGCTTCCTTTAGGTGTATCATGATTTCTTAGCTCCCATAAACCAGCTGTTTGTTGCTTCACAAAGAATCCAGAATTGAAGTCATTCCTCCACCAATGAATATTTGCTTCATTGATACCAAATTTACACCCTACTGCTCTGTTTTGGTACATTTCTGCATACATAATCAACTTTTCATTTCAATGTCGAATCACAGTACACGTTTTTTGAAGATATTTTAAAACAGCAATTAAACTTAATAGTTAAGTAGCAACAATGCATTTAATAAATTAAAGTGAGTATAATCACAATTGTCCATGAAAACTACATCATGACTGCTGCCTGGCACCATAATGGTGATTGTAATTCACCATCAATTGTAAGGTGCAGCTCAATTTTGGAGATGTTGAAATGTGGGGGGAAGTGTGCCTTAAAATCAATATTTGAATGTATATAGTACCTATTGTATGTTTAGTCTAGAGTTAGGTCTGGGGAATAACACAAGACTGCTTTCTGCCCTCAAGAAGTTTATCATCTTACTTTTTCTGTTCCTTGTTCACTTACAAAATAAAAGTCCATATTTTGGGTGAACCAAACCAAATTATGAAAAATAGAAAAACAGAATAAAAACAATTTTAAAATATTATGAATTAATTTATACTTCAGTTAATCCAAAAGTTTTAAGTCCACATACTCATTTGCTTGCTGGCATTTTAAAAGCATATTCAGGCCGGGCGCGGTGGCTCACACCTGTAATCCCAGAACTTTGGGAGGCTGAGGCGGGTGGATCACGAGGTCAAGAGATCGAGACCATCCTGGTCAAAGTGGTGAAACCCCGTCTCTACTAAAAATGCAAAAAATTAGCTGGGCATGGTGGCGCGTGCCTGTAATCCCAGCTACTCAGGAGGCTGAGGCAGAAGAATTGCCTGAACCCAGGAGGCGGAGGTTGTGGTGAGCTGAGACCGCGCCATGGCACTTCAGCCTGGGTAACAAGAGCAAAAACTCAGTCTCAAAAAAAAAATAATAATAATAATAAATAAATAAATAAAAAATAAAAGCATATTCAGCTTCAAATTTTCCTTAACTGTAATCTAAAAAATTTTGTTTTATTTTAAATTTTGTGAGTACATAGTAGGTGTATATATTTATGGGTTACATGAGACCTTTGATACCTATGTGCAAGTTTGCCAAATGTATAGTAAGATAACTTTGCCTTCCTCCGCAATCTGTTTACACTGAAACAATAAGATTAAAATAGAAGCAATGTTGGAGCTAGAGTCAGGAGCTGAATGAAGAATGAGGGATATGACCAGGAAGACTGTGACAGCAATAATGAGGTCTGGTAGACGACATGATCTGACCTAAATAAAGGAAATTATAGCATTGCTATAATTCAACAGCACATTGCAAATTTGACCAAGAATATTTTAGTGTGAATTTCCTAAAGAAATGACATAAATGATTATTTGCATTTTTCATCGTTTCATTCATTCATTTATCGAGCATCTCTTATGAACCAGGAAAAGCAAAAGAAACCAAGTCAATTCCCTCCTGGAAAGCAAATGCCAGCAGAGGAACTTATCTTTGGGATCGCTGATAATTCGATAGCTTTTATTATACGATTAGGGAAGAAAGAAAACTAGCGAATGATGATCAGATAAATTCATATTGGATATTTAACGTTTTTTAAAATAGCAATATGGTACTGTAAAATACTGAACTGAAGTTTGTCGCCACAAAGTTATAAACACAAAGTGTCTACCTCTGCCCTACCAGAGGTCAGTCAGAAGCATTTTAGGCTTTCTCTCAATATGTTCTCTTTTTTTCTCTCTCTTTTTATAGACTAGGAAGAAATTCTGTCTACAGGTCCCCATATTTTAAATTCCTTTTAGCATACATTTAAAAATAACAGCAGAAAAATAATTTGAACTAGTGCCAGGATCTAGTACAGACTTCGCCCTGTGAATCATAAAGTTCCAATAATAACTCCAGTGCAAGATGGTTTCATTTGAGAATAATAGATACTTCTTTTTAGTATTTCTGAGATAGCAAAACAAGGACAGAAGATGTAATTCAAATATTTCATGCCTTGATTTCAACTACCCTGTAAGTTATGCGAAGTATTTGGGATCATAAAGTGAGCCGTAACCCCTGGCAGAGCAAGCAGAGGCATGGGGGCTGCCCTCACTGGAAGGGAAATATTTTTGACAATTTAGTGTTTTCCAATCTGCCTAATTTATTTGAAGATGTTAGTGGCCAACACTGTTGAGAGTACTGGGTTCGAAAAAATAGAGTGTGTTCTACTACAGTGAAGGATTGCTGTGTGATTTTATTTGATTCTACACATTAAAACTTTAATTACTGCATGAGAGGGAGGAAGGTTTTTATAGCATTTTGTTGATGAGCATTCTCTGTCTGGAACAATTTCAAGCATGAGCTAATGTGGTGATTAATGTGATGTGATCTAAGAAAACTGAAATTTCCGAGGCTATCAGTAAAACAAACAAAACTAAACAAAACCATCATCCTATAATTTTAATGAACACATCTGTATTTTATTTTCTGAAGAAATGAAGTATTTGAGAAGGAATATCTTGCTTTTCCTCCTTCAGAGGAGTTTCAAAAATTGGTGGGGCAACGTCAAAATCACTGGGGAGTTTTTGTTTTTCTTTCCAATATATGTAGCTCTGATTTCTTCTGAAGTCCTTCAAAGATGTCTGTGAGAGGAATCTGGATAGGCCTATTTTAAAAAACTTTCCCTGTTGATTCTGATATGTCATTTTAGTTAAAGAATGCTGGTTCAGTACATACTATGTATTGGCATATACTACATATGGACCATTTGTTTGTAATTTTAAAACATCAAAAATCAGGAGAATTGTTATTAATTTGTTCTTACATAGCTGCTGTTTAAAATAAACATTAAAGCTTTACTACTTTCTAAAAAATTTACTTTTTTTCATTCCTATCCTAATTTAGTGTTTTTTCTTTCTCTCTCTCTCTCTCTCTCTCTCTCTCTCTGTATTTCTTTGCATATAAAGGCCAAAAAAAAAGGGGGGGTAATATTTAGGAATCAAAACTAAAAATAATTGACAACCGGCCATCCATTGTTGACTGAGTTATGAAATGGGGGCAAAGAATGAGAACATAGCAACATTGTAGGTACATATTCTAATTTTAAGGGAGAAATTCTGTCCTCAGGTACTAATTCCCAAAGTCAAAGCAAAAAATTACACACCTACTCACAAACCAGTGGAAAATGTCCCTAGTTCCCAAAGGTATAGAAACTAAAAAGTGGCATTCTTTGTGTACTGGTGTTTTGGTGCATGGCCAACACTTGTATTTTTGCTTGAATTATGACCTAGTCTTGTCAAGCCTGTAGAGTTAGCTCTCCACATAATTCCATTACTCACTGGCAATTTAAACTTCATTTTTTTCAGACAGAGGAGAGCTTAATTGTATGAGCTGTGGAGGCTTTAAAATTGTGCTGGCAACAATGTTGCTGTTGCTTATTATTATAAAAACAACCTCAACTTTATAATCAGTTTTATGGTTTTTCTATCTTCAGCTACACCTTTCAAAAAGAAGATCAGCAAATAAAATGAACAAAATTTATCTTTGGCTGCATTCATGCAGAGACTTTTTTTGGATAAGCACTCTGTCTACCAACAAGTAACTAACATTTAACAGCTTAAATAACATCTTAGTTTTGAATACCAAAGAAATGCAAAAAAGAAGCCAGTTGTACAATATCCTACTTCATAAGCTGAGATGATCAGCTGGAGAATGTTTCCGGAGTCCTTCTGAAGTACCCCTACTGTAGCTCCAGGAATAAGTTTTGCGTAATTCTGTAAACAGAAAAAAAAAATAATAATAAGTCAATCTAAGTTTGCTCATGGTAATTGAGAAAAGTGTGGGTTTGAGCCTGCTTGCTATGCTTGCCTCTATTTAACTGGCCGGGGAAAACAGGTTTCTGATAACAAACCTGCTTTTCTCCTGAAACTGTAGCCTCTACTTTGTGCTGCTTCCTGTGCTCAAGTGAGAAATGGACTGGACAGAGTCGCCACTGGGGCAACCCAGGGTCTGTGGTTGCCATGGTCTAGGGCTGTGATTTATATCACCAGATGAGTCAATCTCAAATAATAGTAACATTTCTATAACATCTTCCATTTGTGAAACATCATTTGTCTAAAACATTCTGAGCACACACCGGGAACTTCTCTTTTGGTAACATTGCAGAAACCAAGATTTGGTGCACATGGACAATGAGAGGAATCAGGTCGTTCTGTAAGTCATTCAGTTTAGGGGTCTTAAGGCATAATCACTTGGCGGAGAAAGAATGAATTATTGAATGCTTGCACCGAGCTCTCCCTTCCTCCTGGTAATGAGCTCCCTTTCTGGATGCTAGTACCATGCTGGGTTTGGTTGGAACTGCTCCCACTGCATCACCATCAAGTGAGTCAGAAGCATTCTCTACCCACAGTACTTCTCCTGAGGTGTCGCTTCCACCTGAGAACCAGCAATATGAATTCATCATCACTCCAGGTATCGGGCATGGCCAGAGAATGAGGCATGGCAAAGAAGGGAATTTTCCAGACAACTGAAAATTTCCCTGCCCTGGAGTTCTATGTTTTTTATTTTGTTGTTTTCAAATGAAAAGTTTTCTAAGGTATATGATACATATACCTGTCTTCTTAAACAAAGATTTCCCCAAATACTTTGAGTTTTTCTTAAAGGAATGGAGTGAGACTCATCAGTTTTAACTATAGTTCTGTCAGGCACGGTAGCTTATGCTTGTAATCCCAGCACTGTGGGAGGTTCAGGCAGGCAGATCACCTGTGCTCAGGAGTTCGAGGCCAACCTGGCCAATATGATGAAACCCTGTCTCTAATAAAAATACACAAGTTAGCTGGGAATGGTGGCACTTCTGTGGTCCCAGCTACTTGGAGGCTGAGGCAGGAAGATTGCTTAAGCTCAGGAGGTCGAGGCTGCAGTGAGCAGAGATAGTGCCACTGCACTCCGGCCTGGGTGACAAATTGAGACCTTGTCTCAAAAAAAGTAATAATAATAATAAATAAAATAAACTATAGTTCTACAATCATCAAAGGCTTTTGAAATTCCCAGAGAGGTCACACCCATACCAAATGGGCCCTGACTGTGATGCAGTTGCTTCTTATATTTGTTTTTAAATGATTTCTATCTTCTCCTTGGTGAGCTCTAAGATACTACTCACCTACTAATTTACTCATTTATCTATTTATTGTTGCATTCAGCATCTATTAAGTAGGATTACTATACTGTACTATGTCAACAACCACTCTTTCTGTCAGCTGTGGTCTTCTGAGTTGCTGTGTGCTATGAAATTGGATGACTGAGGTTTATTAAAACTGTATGAAAAAAGTAAGAAAATTTTAAAAAGTAAAGAAAATAGTAAAGCTTTGAGTAAAGGAATTAGGGCAACTCTTCTAGTTGAAGCATAATGATATTCTATCTTATTTAAAGAAGATTTAAGTGTTTTAGAAAATGCACAAAACTAAATTAGAATGCAAAATTATCATTGATTATAATAGTGATACCAAGAAAATAAATCAGGACAACGGGAACCAAGGAGAGGAACAAATGAAGCCAGGGTGACATGAGAACACAGAATGCATGCAGGGTGTCCCAGGCACTTGCTAGAGGTGGGCCGCTGGGTGAGTCCAAGTTTTCTACAACTTCTGGGTAGAAAAATGGGTTTGGTTTTGATTTGAGGGTTTGTAATGTTCCACTAATTTAGTGTTCATGATTGTGTTGAAGTTTGAAGTCAGTAGAAATCTAAATTCTTTTTTTTGTTAATTTTTATTTTTAGAGACAGGGTCTCACTCTGTTGCCCAGGCTGGAATGCAGTGGTCTGATCATAGCTCACTGTAGCCTTGAACTCCTAGGCTCAAGCAATGCTCTCACCTCAGCCTTCCAAAATGTTGGGATTACAGGTGTGAGCTACTGAGCCAGGCAAAATCTGAACTCTTAACAGTGTGAGATGCTGCTCTGCCTTGATACTGTTTCATTATTGAGGGGGCTTGGGCAGTAATCCAGGTAACATTCCTTCCTTGCCTTACCCCATGTACCACATTGCTGCCTGTTGCTGGAGGACCCCCTTCTGTTTCCCTGAGTCAGGAAAAACTCGTAAAATATGAGGAAAGCATTGGTTTATGGACTTACCTTCCCAAATAAACACATGTCACCAAGGGCTGTGAAGCATGTGACATGTGGTTAACAGCGAACACCTACACAGGAACTTGAATGGCTAAGTGAAGCTGAAATGTGTGTAAATTTGACTGATCCCAAAAGAGACAGCAAAGGGAACCTTTAGAGCTTCACAAAGAAACATTTAGGTCCCTTGGGAGAAGGATTTCAAGGCCCTTGGCTTTGTATGAAACTACTATCATTGGCTGGGTGTGGTGGCTCATGCCTGTAATCCCAGCACTTTGGGAGGCCAAGGCGGGTGGATCATGAGGTCAGAAATTTGAGACCAGCCAGACCAACATGGTGAAACCCTGTTTCTACTAAAAATACAAAAATTAGCCAGGCATGGTGGCATGCACCTATAATCCTAGCTACTCAGGAGGCTGAGGCAGGAGAATTGCTTCAACCCTGGAGGTAGAGGTTGCAGTGAGCCAAGATCACACCACTGCACTCCAGCCTGGATGACAGAGCTAGAGTCCACCTCAAAAAAAAGAAAGAAAGAAAGAAAGAAACTGCTATCCTTGAAAAACATCCTGGGAACTCTGAGGCTGAGGCTGAGGTGTCACAGATATGTTCTGCAAGCACTAGTTCAAGTGCGCCTCCAAATTTGCAGTTAATTCTTGGCTGACAAAGCCAAACTCGTCCACTTCCTAAAGCATAATTATGATCCTGCATGTGGTATGACATTTGGCATTTGGCTATTAGGACAAGTGGTTAGCATTAATTGCTGATTGCCACTGGAGCTACGATATAAAAGGATTGGCAGCCAGTAGCAGTAACCAGTGATAACACTGACGATTGTGCAGAGGAAAACTGTTAATTAATTTCTGGATGCTGAGTCCCCCCAAAAGCATTTTAAATAATCAACTAAAAAATATGGACAATTTGGCTTCCTGCTTTAACACTGTCAAAAATTATACTTTAAAAATTGTAGTATTATGATTACTGTAAATATCATGTATCCAATGCCTTCCTCTCATTAAAGTCTTAACGTGCTATTATAAATCGTTGTGATTAAACATGTTTAGTGTTAGAAAAAGGATGATTTCGCACGCCTGGATGTGATGAATTATAGCATTTGTGACTCTAAAAGAGAGTGCCTGAATATTAGAAATGGTGAACACTGCAAACATGACGTTGCATGAGCTGATTAGAAATGCAAGCTCTTATGCTTGGACTTGAATTCTCTATTGTCTATCTGCAGAATATCCTAATTATGGATTTTCCCCATCCTACCATACCACCCAGGAATTCATGAGGTTGCTTTTCTCACTCATTCCTTCTGATTACCTTAGTTTTCTTAACTTCCTTCTTCAAGCCCTATTTATCTCTTCACTTGGCCCCCATCTCCAGAAAGATTACACATTTATCCAACAGTCTGCATTTGTTCCCTAGAAATCTCCTCTTTGTCGAAGAGAGAGGATAAGAAAGGGACAGAGAGCCATTTAGCAGGCAGGTGTGATACAGAGAAAAGCACCTGCATTCCCACCTGCACATCCTGGGCTCTTCTCAGAGAGTGACTCCCAGTTTGGTGCCTCTCAGCGTCTGGCTGCCAGAACCAGCTGTCAGGTGTGTGCTCCTGCTTGGCTCAGGTCAGAGGAGCATGTGATCACACATCTGCAGCCTGGTTAACTGTGGACAGGCAGTTGGTTGGCCTTCTCTTCAAAAAGACTCGGGCTGAGGACCTTGTAGAACATTCCTGGCTTTGGTGATATCCTGACTTTCTGACCTGTAGAAGGGGCCGCTCCTGACGTTACCCCCATTACTGCTCCGACGGCACCTCCTGTGTGGTTAGCGCCTCAGAACCTGGCTGTCTGCTGGGTCAGTGTTTGATATTAACTGTATCCTTGCCGGGTATCTTGATTTGGTTTCTGCTTTGGACAGTGACTCTACCGGGCCCTTATAGCCCACGCCTGTGACATTTCTACTATAGTCTCAAATACCCCTCCCACCTCAGAACTCAGCAGCCCTCATTTGATAGAGATCACGTGACACATGCCCCTCATTCGAGGGTGAGAAGTCGGAAGCTAAGTGGTCACATATCAGCTAGCAGCAATGTGTTCTTGCTTTTATTATTATTTTAATAGGCACATAATGAACTGTACATATTTACGGGGTACAGTGTGACATTTTGATACACGTATATGATGTTTAATGATCAAGTCTCTCACATTTTAAGAAAGAATTTGTAAAACCAAATGCTCAGTGCAGCCAGTTGCTTCCCTTTAGACTCTCTGCTTGCTTAACTCTCTTTCTGAAGCCTCACTAATGTGTCACTAACGTTACTGTATTTTATGCCCACACCACTGTTTGTTTTTAATATTATATTATTAACCAACATCAGTGTTTCTAATATGAAAATAGACTTACTATATGTATTCTAGTGAAATACATTTACTAAAATATTAGCTTTCATAGACTGAGAATTTATGATGTTAAATAGTCTGCTCGCAAATTTCTCCTCTAGTCTTTCAAAGTATTTTTTGTTATTACTTTGTATCTTTTCAGTCAATGGCTCCTTTTGGTGCATTCTCTCTCTGTTTCCCTGTTTCTCCCTCTCTCCCTTTCTCTGTCTCTGTCTCTCTCTCTCTCTCTCTCATATACTTTAATGGCAGCATAGCAT